GTCTCTTAAAGTTAAACTAAAAATGGCAAAATTTTTGCAAGAAACTCTTAACAACATGTGCTTTAAAATAAATAACAATAGCTGTGAATCAGCCTAATAATTTGCTGATTTCTTTTATAAGGTAAATATCTAGTTTTGTAAACATTTAAAGTGATAACTATACATTAAAATAAGTCATGATTGAATTTGAGGTTAGACAAAGCGGCGTTGTTATACCATCAGAAGAAATAATTAAATTTTCTAAATTATTCAAAGACGATATCACATTGGATTCATTAGATCGCTCACAACTATTTGCTTTATGCCGTGTACTGGATATTCGACCAATTGGAACTTCAAACATTTTGAAGTTCCAGCTCTTACAGAAGCTTCGAACACTGGCCATTGATGATAAAGTACAAAAATTATAATTTATTATTTATTATTATTAAAAAAAAACTTAAGAGCGTAATTATTTAAAGTATTTTTATCTTTTAAAAAAGAAAATTCAAAAAGAAGGAGTGGATTCTTTGTCGTTTGAAGAACTATAACAAGCATCAAAAGATCGAGGCATGCCTGCTTATAGCGTAACCAAACAACGAATGCGACAACAGTTGACACAATGGCTAAATCTATCGTTAAGTGAGAAAGTTCCACCATCTTTACTTTTGATTTCTAGGGCATTTGATTATCCTGAAAACATTCCAACTAGTGATTTATTGAAAAAAGCTATTTCTTCATTACCTGAATCGGTGGGCGTGAAAACTCAAGTAGATTTAGGAGAACGCGGAGGTACTATTGATAACAAAGCAAAATTAGAAGCAATTAAAATTGAAGAATATAAAATTAACGAAGAATTGAAAGAGTGTATGAAAGAAAATAAGAAAGATGTTTTGTGTGATACTGCACCTAATATATACGACAGAACAGGAATTCAAAACGATGTATAATGGTACACTTTTTATATAGTTAAAGTGAATTGATATTTACCATAGTTTTTTAGGATGTGTCGAAGAACGATTTAAAAACTTTGGAATATGCAATTGAAAATTTAGATCATTCAAAACTTATAGTGACAAAGGAGGAAATAAGAGAGTTAAAAGATGAACTAAAATATTACAAAAAAAGTAATTATAGTTATTTTTAATATCAATAATGTATATTATTACATAAATTACACATAATGTAACTACTATTAACGGGTTTTAGTAGGAAAGTTTTCCAAAATAATAGATATGACTTTTTTTGAACAAGTGGATTAAGTGATTCAGTTGGTAATACGTAGTACTTGTTATAAGATTAAATTATTTTACTTTATGAAAAAAGGAATATACATTTTAGTGGTTTAAAACAATAATTTGATAATTAAATTAAACAATTTTTTTTAGCGATCATATTTAAGGGAATTTATCGTACCTTTTCCTGGACCATATCTGATATAAATCTGTATTATCCTAAATACGCCTTTTTTTGAAAAGCATATTTTTGATGAAGTACGACCTTACAATTGACGCTTTCTGTAGGCATGCTAATTTACACGTTGATTATATAGGATGTTGAAAATCTTGGAAATGTTATGAAAACCGTCAAAGAAAATGTAATCACAGAATCTTTGGCTGGCAAATGTCTTTTTAAATTAGTTAATAATATGATTGAAAAACTAGATGGTGTAATAGACCAACTGGAAAAGAATGATAAAAAAATAATACAACATATCAAAACGGAAAAAAACAAACGTGACAATTTCAAGTAAATAAAAATAGTCATACTTAGTTTTATAATTTTGTGTTCATTTATTTTGGAGCCATTTTTATGGCAGTGAATTAATTAAAATAGATGAAATAATAGGAGCTGTGAAAAATTTACGAAATGTCTCACATGAGCATAGATTACAAAAAATTAGAGAAGTCTTGAGCAAAATCGATGATGACAAAGATGGTTATATACGGTTAAAAACGGTATTAAAGGTAATTCTGAATTACTTGATATGTAAGATAGATTATATGTCAATAATCCCCACTTTTTTAGCTTCGTTGCAAAGCTGAGAAGGTATTAGTTTTACCATGATGTGTTTTTTTGTGTATAGTTCTCAAATATAGAAATTTAAAAATATCTCAAAATTAGGCTACCGAAAAAAATGGATTTCCAAAAAACTTTTCTGAATTTTATTTTATTATTATTTTTTTTTAGCCTTTATTAAAATAATAATCAGCTAAATAATTATAACCAAATAGTAAAAAGTACAATAGTAACAATACTATGTTGTAGTGGTATGACAATAATTGTTAATAAACAATAAAATAGAAAGAAATTAAACATTATATCAAATAATTGTTAAAGGAGCTTTTAACATACAAATTAAAAATCAGAAATTTCATTTTTGGTTTCATACCAAGATTATGAAACCAAGGTAAATGAGTAAAGGAAGAAGATATTAAGCGAAACCAATATGCAGTTAACAATTTTAACGCAGACCAGCTGTTCTGCTAAGTTTGAAGAACTGTCTGACAAAAGAGACGGAGAAAGTTGAAAGCGGAAATTGTATGAAGAAAGAAGGGGTAGGTAGAAGTTGAAATGCGGTCAGCAGGTTCGTTATCTAAAATACTGGGGCGTGATCCGGCACCTAATGAAATATAATAAATTTACTCTAGAATCGAACTAAGGAGGTAAGTAATCTAATAATAAGAATGTAAGGAGAAAGAATAAGGGTGAAAAATGAAGTAGAAGTAATTGCAAGTAGACAAGATAGTGAATTATGAAAATTAGCAAATTCATTAATTGAAGTAGATGATATAAAAATGAGAGCATTAACGATGAGAAGGTATTCAGTGGTATAATAATAAGAAGAAAGGAGAGGTACAGCTAATTATGAAATATTAAGTTCAGGAATAAAAAAGAGCATTCAGCTGAGTTAGTTGATACAGAACCATTTGTAAATATCAGGCATTTAGTCGGAAAATTTGGTGACATATAATCTTTAAAGAGATTATTAACGGAAATTGCAGGATTGAAGGAGGAAATCCGAGGAATGTTGAAATTCAATACTGTAATGGAAAGCATTCAGAAATTGATTTATAAAGTTTTTTGTACAAAGGACAAGTTTGAGTTTTAAAACCATGATTGCTTTTACCAGAATTGTGTGAATTATCCTTGAATATTTGTGGGTTGGAAGTTTGCAAAGTATTTCTACGGCACAGTGGACACTGGTCCTGATCACCTCCTCCCAAATAGGTTCTGGATTGTATCCAAAACTCTGGTAAGCACCGTAATTGTCCCGAAAAGGCGAAGGAGTTTTAAAACTGGTGAAAACACTGAACAAACACTCAAAAAGAATAGTACACTCTAAAAATAGACGGGTAATTACGAACATACACTAGATGTAAGATAAACGTCCGATGAATCGTAATTGTTTTCTGTATTTTAAAACTGCTATAATTTTTTTAAAAAACACTAATTTTAATGAAATATTATACAGTAAACTAAAAACATTAATAGAACCCATACCACAATTATTCTACTACGTGAAATCGACTGTTTATGTTAAAAAATCCGTACATTTTTACAAAAATTATTTTATTTTTGATTTATAAAAATGTTTTGGGATATCTGCCTTTTTCAAAATGAAAGATTATTTAGAGTACTTTATTACAAAACAATTATAGATGTCCTTTATATATATTTTTTCTATGAATTATTCGACATTAAATCAAAAATCATGAAATTCCTGATAAATTTCTTATTTTTTTAATTTTGTTTTAACTCTTTCAAAACTATACGGATCCAAATTAAAATAGGATATACTAGAGATAAGTAGCGTTATTTTGTACAATTTTTATAAAAATCAAATGAGAACCTTAAGTACAGGAAGTGTTCAAAACTGATCACCCACGCATACAAAAAAATTTTTTCAACTCCAATATTAAAAATATTTCGGGGACATCTAAAAACATTTAAAGTATATTAAATTAAATTATTCGTAGTGCACTATAGTATTAAAATATAACCATCCCACGATTGTTGGAAAAATTACAAATATAAAAACTATTATGAAATTTAACAGATTCGCATTAGAAGCGTTTTTTTATAGTACGTTATTCACTGACAGATATTATTTGTATTAGTCCAAACTATGGCATGATCCTACTGTGCAGTTTTTTAAATTGTATTATATCTAATATTTATGTACACTATAGTTCTAACAAATTATTTACATGAATTATAATCATAATAATACAATTAATGTGCAATCTCTATTTACTGAAATAAGGAGCATTAACAAATAATTTTATTACTAAACTCTGTAAAATTATTCTGTAATATATCATCCTTCAACTGTTATTTCTCTTTTGAAAAAATATTTTTGGAAAATAAATTTTTTAATTATATTTAGATATTGGACTTAATCGAAACAGAAAACGTAAAACTTTCGTTAAAAGAAATGTAAATCATAACAAAATTAATAGTCAAAGAACAAGAAATAGAAAAAACCAGAACAACTTTGCCTTGTTCTGACTAGTTTTAAAATGTGTATTTTAAACAATTATATTAGTTCCAACGAATGAATTGTATGGAGTTACAAAATTATTGGAATTAAAAACTACTTGATTATTATTACAAAACTAGGCTTAAATAAAATTAATTAATAGAAAAAAATCGTATGCTACATGATTCAAAAACATTTTTTCGATAACATATTTTATTTTTCAATATTAAATCGAAAAATAAAGGATCCAATAACAATACATTTAAAAAGTAAAAAAACCAAAATTATGTTCAATAAGTGTTTTGAATCAACAGTTATTATGGGTATATTTTTAATTGAAAATTTCTTTAAGTAGAAACAGTCCTCAGTTTCTTTCTTTTGGGTGAACTTTTCTAACAATTTTAATAAAATCAAGTATTTTATTTCTAGACAAGATAATTATTTTATCAATTATTTTTTTATAAGCTGAGTAATAATTATATTAAATGAAAAATTAAAAATAAAGAAATAAAGAAATAACATTACCAAATTAAGGGTATTAAAAAAAATTCTTTATACATTTTATAATAACATTGTTAATTAAATATTAAAATTAAAGCTTAAGTTGCTTAATGATTAATATAAAAATTTTTTAATAAACAGATTTTAACTATAAATATAAATATATTTATGTGGGTATCATTGATGTCTAGAGGGCACTACTTCCAGGATCTGGAGGTAGATAGTGGTATCATCATATATTAACATTAGGTTAACTTAAATTTAGTCATGAGTTGTCTAAAGTGTGTTTTTGTAATTGTGTGCGATTTAATTAATTTATGTATTTAATTTATATATTTTTTAGTTTATGAATGTTTAACAGGGTTTTTGTGTGTGAATAATAATATATATTGTAATAATAGTATTGTGTCTTTGTTCTGTTCCTGTTGTTGCCTGTCATTTCCCACATTTATATATTCATATTAATATATTATATTTTTAATAAAACATTTTTTATTAAAAAATATATGCCTATTAAAATATTATAAAATATTTATATTTTACATATTATTTTAAATGTTAAAAAATTATTAAAATAAGAGAGCATTATCTTTTTTTAACAAAAAACATATCTGTTAGATAATAATAGTTCAATTAAAAATCAATTTTGCCTAATAATTATGAAGTACAAATAAAATAATATAAATAGAGCTAGGAAATAATCAATATTTATTTAAGAGAAATCTATAGTGCATCATCTAACAAATATTAATTATAACAGCTCTATAATTTTTAAAACTTTAGATAAATTAACAATTATTGGAACCATTATTTTTTAAAAGAAATTCATACATTTTAAAATAATACAATTTTGATATCTTAAACATTATATTACTTAAATTACAGGTTTCATTACACGTCCAATAAATAAGACATCACCACCATGAGTATAAATTATAAAAATAAATGGATGATCAGCAATAAAAGTAGCTCTTTCGATTTTTGTAAAACTAGCACTCATATATGCCATAAATGCCATTCCTACACAAAAAAATATTTATATTAATTTAAATTTAGGGTTATTTAAAAAATTTTTTTTTAACATTCTAAATAGATAAAATTTTATTAAGGAGCAATACTTAACTAAATATTGACATAATAGTTAATAATGCCTTAACTTTGCATTAGTAATAAATAAAATAAAAATTACAATAAAATGTAATAACAATTTCAGAATAATTAAAAAATAACTAATTATAACCTACAATATAAAAAATAAATAATATATATATATATTTAAATTAATCATAAATATTAAACACTCAAAAAAAAAAAAATTATAATAATTGAATTATTAAGCAATGTAATAAAAATATTTTTTTTTTCTAAAAAAAGTACTTATCAATTATTCATTAAAAACTGCCAAAATTTATATTGTTTCTCATATCATAATACATAAATATTCTAATATATTAGTTCATATTTTATACAGTAATAAAGAAATACATACAATAATTAGATGTTACATATTTCAGCATTAAAAAATTAAAATAATAAATATTATATTAACTCATTATAATCTTTTTATTCTACCAATAAATAAAGGTACATTATTTTTTCCTAATATTAAGATGACGAATGGATGATTTGCAAAAAATTTGACTGAATCTAATTGCTTCATTATACATTTATTAAGTGCAATTGCCATTCCTATGTAAAATAATATTTTAGATAAATTTTCGCTATAGATAAATGGATTTTTTATCAAAATAATGTAATTAATGACTTGATCATACAATTTAATAAAATTTGTTTGATTACTTCGAGATTCGTGTTTTAAATCATACTAATACTTAAAAATATATGGATTAATAATACAATTATTTTCAAATTAACACTATCTTAACTAGTTAAATATATTAGATATCCAAAATTGTAAAGTATTATTTATAATAACTGTATATAGAGAGGTACTCATTCTGAATTGAAAATATAACGGTGTCTAATGAAAACTCTCATGTATCAGAGATGACTATTATGCCATTATGGACAAAAATAATAGATTTCATATATTCCTCATATTTAATAGATTTTATATACTTTTTACTTTTGCTCATTTTCTAATTTTCTCATTATAATTAAAGAAAATAAACTGATATGAGAAAACATAATAAGAAAGTATAAATAATATTTTGAATGAAAATACCATAATATTTTATAAATGCGCCTCAGCCAGTTCTGCCTAGCTCACTCATAAAATCTGGTCTATTAAGAGATCTGTTTACTAAGTGAGATCAGCTAAGTAATTTGAATTATTACCTTTCTTTTTTAAGATTGCAGTTCAATATCTTTCATACAGTATTTAATGTTAAGGAACGTCTTCTTTGGAAATATATTAATATATTGTCATTTCCATAGAAAAACATTATTTTTAGCTCAATATTTTGATACATATATATATATGTATTTTTTTTAAAAAATTAATAATTACAATATTGACACATATTATAACAATTTATAGAATAAAAATATTTTTTCTTGAGATGATGAAGGCTTAAGCCTATTTTAGCTTATCAGTGCTAGTTATACATAATTATGTGTACTTTTCTTCTCCTGAATAACTTTGGAAATTTGGGTTACATACTTTTGCCACGAAGATGACATTGATTATAACATTAAAAACCATAAAAATACATACCAACCAGGTTGTCAATATTAAAAAATATACAAAGGCTCTGGATGATTACTCGACAATAGCAGAGTCATCCAGGACAATATTGAGTATAGTTTAAACATCAAGGAAATAATTTCAAAGAATGGTAAAATTATTTTACCTGTTGCAGCTGCTGCTTCTGTTCCATTTTCATCAACATCAATAAAAGCTTTGTGAACAACTTTACTTACACATAATGTATCATTTGGTGAATCACAAATTTCAGAAAAATTTGCTTCACGTGAGAACATAGATGAGCAGCCAAGCTGAAATACCAAAATGTTTTTTTTAAATTTATTTTTAAATAAAATATTCCAATATTGATCTACTACAATAAAAAAAAAAGCTTATGCTAAAATTAAAACTTCAATAATGAAAGAAGTGCAGAAATAAGTAGCACTTTGTTACTATTCAATAAAAAAAATATACATTAATACATATTATTTAAGATATATTATATAGATTTTGAGATTTTTTAATTAGTTCTTTTAACTCTACTTTCAAATTAAATAAATTTTAACTTTGAGTAAATGTATTGCTCTTTTTATTTATTGAACTGTGAGTTATGATTTCTTTTTCAAGGGATAACTGAATAATGTGTAATATTGTGAAGAATTTTTGAAGACGAAAACAAAAATATCTAAATAGATTGGATACAAAGTTCTGGGAAAGATTTGTATCTATAAAAACTATTTTCACCATTACTGCAATATTATCAACCATAAAGAAACAAATCTTAATGATATGTAATAATTTAAGTTTTTATATAGTGGAAATTTGTAAGTATAAAAAATGTTATGCTTATTTTTATGTAATTAATTAACATATTTTTGCTTCACATAAAAACAAAAATTTGATTTACATAATTCAATCTTAGTAATTTTGAACTAAACTAAATTTTAAAATAAATTTAACTATAAATCATAAGAAAATTGGTTTACCTCAGCTAACACATTTTCTAAATCAAATGATTGTTCAATTTTAAATCTTGGTAATTTTACATTGACATTGTAAGTAGTCATTTTTTTCGAGAGCTCTGATAATTTGATGTTTGATAAATTGTTTTCAAGACTATCTATCCCATCTTTAGCATCAGGTAATAAAATTATCATTCTATAATAGTTTTTCTAGAAAATAATTTGAATAAAAGTTATGAAAAGTGTATTGATATTAATGATTTTAAGGCAAACTTTCATTACAAAATTGTTTATAAACATGTTATAATATTGTACAATAAACAATATTTTTTAAAATATATATTTTGATATGTTATTTTAAATAATGATTGATCTCATATTGATTAATACAAATATTAATCGTTTTAACAGAGAAAAATTATCAAAGGATATTCTATAGTAGAATAAACAAAAATTAAATAAAAATATGTTTTTAGCTTTACTTAAAAATTTAATTAATGATGATTATAAAAATTTATCTTTTAACCATTGATATACAAAAATAAACTACACAATAACAATTCTTACATCATAAGGTAATTCTAGAGCAGCATACTTTAAATGTTCATTGTGGAAGTAGTATACATTTTTAGTAAGTGTCATCATTTTTACATTGATTTCATTACCCTTAGAAATGTAAAAAGGCTCATCAACTGTGTCAGAAAATTTGTGTTTCCAGCCATTTTTGAAATGAATAGCATTTGCTAATACTAATGCAGTGTCTTTATTAATTGACTCTATGTAAGACAATGTAAAATAATATTAAAAACCATGTTAATGATGTTTAAAATGAATTGGGATTGATACAAATACAGAATAAAAATGAAAAAAAAATATACCCATAATGAAGTCATCAAATATTATATGCAGTACAAAATAAAATGTTACAGTTCATTAAAATTTTTAAAGGTTATTCTAAATAGCTCTATGTTACATAACATTAAATAAGAAAATGTCCACTTAAATTTTTTATGTAATCATTTCCCAAATCAAAATGGCAATTTGACAAATGTTAGGTTTTAATGTACAATGGACCAACAGGTCTGATTATAACTATTGGTATTATGTCCATATTACTAATAACGAGGGTTCGCCAATAATACATTTTTGAATATCAATATTGCATCAAATTTTAATGATATGATATTGCAAAAAAAAAATTGTTCCCAATATCATATGAAAAAAAAATTATATTCAAAAATTAAATTTTAACTATACATGTTTTCATTATATTTTTATTTTCAAGAATACGTTAAGTTACTATTGTTGTAAAAATCAGACTATGGTATACCACCCAAATCGGATAAAGATATTAATATTAAAAAAATATAGATAATAGCTATATCTCATAACAATAATCAAATATTTTCAATTACTTTTTATCATAAAAAAATAAGTTTTTTTTTGTGTTAAGACTTTATCATTATATATTGGTTATATTAAATGAAGGAAATTGTTCTTTATCGGATAATAGTATTATAGTTTCAGTGTTTTGGTTTTAAATAATAATAATAATAATAAAAAAATAACTTTTTTCAGGACGTGCCAGAAGATGAAAGTCGTATGCTATTTTTCTCAGAGGTAATGGAATTATTTTATTTTAGAAATAAAAGGAAAAATAGTGGAGACATTGCATAGTTGGGTTCAGTATAGATTTAATCTGACAGTGATTAAAATTACTATCATAAGAAACGCTTCGATGCAAATCTGTAGATAGTGTTTAATTTTAAAAAATTGTTGGATAATTGCAAAAGCAACATCAACTTCTATTAAAATAAAATACAAAACCCATAATTTTCATACAAAAATAGCATATTTTTGAATATGGTAGCCATTTGCGTATAGAAGATAGGTCGTCGGGACAAATTTTTTTTTT